TATTGAATGAGATATCAAATTATTCAGTCAAGATTGAGTTAGGAGAGTTGGTGATCTCTTGGACAAATCACTGAAGGTGCCAAGATAGGTTCATCACGAGCAGGAAGGAACAAGGGAAAACAGGAGGTTTTCCCCGTGGACCGACCCGTGACGAGATCCTATTCCCGGGCCCTCAACATATGCCTTGGGGTATTTTAGGGGTGTCTGACCTGGAGGCATGCCTCCAGGCATATGCCTCTCATGCCTTTTAAAACACTGGTTGATGGTTGTAATGGCTCCTTGAAGGATTAATAAGAAAATAGGGAGAAAAAAGTGGGAGAAAATCTGGAATGATTCATCGGGGTGCCTAGAATCACTTGAGGGCACACTTACAATATAATCTGTAAAATCTCAAATAAACTTCATCCATTCATCTTATCTATGCTTTTGCACTTTTACAAACACACACACATAGGGGTGGGCAGCCCTACTAGGACTGGAATCAAATTACAGAATTGCCACTATCATAAGAAAATAAATTAACTCTTGAATTACTTAAACCAATGACTTAGAAATTTAGGCACAACTAAAATATGACTAAAACAAATCAAACTACTAGGTCAGACCCCACAGGCAACATATAAAATGGACAAAATCTCCCTACTGTCTAAAAATACAAAAATATATGAAATTTTCAAAAAGTTACTGTATAATGGCTCTTTGGCTCCTGCATCACCTATGCTACCTCACCCATCATTATTAATTATTCATAGGATCTTTTTTTCATTGGTGGGACACTCCCGCACTGGGCTGCCCATTTATCATCTATCTTTCATTGGGTTTATTTAGGTCTGCAGTCTACCAATGCTTAGACAGACTTGGTTAATACCATGTGATTTATGTTGAGGTAGGGTAACATTGTACTGTGTTTGCAAACTGGGTAACAATGTAATGAGTTAAATTGTCTTCATCCTTGTATAAATTTTATTTGCTGCAGGGCGCTTGACACTGACCAATTATGCTTTGTACTTTGAATCACTGGGAGTTGGTTTGTATGAAAAGGCTGTTAGATATGATTTAGCAACAGACCTGAAGCAGATCATAAAGCCTGAATTGACTGGACCTTTGGGTGCTCGTCTCTTTGATAAAGCTCTGATGTATAAATCAACAGCTATGTAAGTTTCAGTTGCTAATGGTTGTTGGACATATATATAATTATAGACCTTGTGATCAAATTTTAGCTGTGCTATTTTACAGACCAGAACCTGTTTACTTGGAGTTTCCAGAATTCAAAGGTAGTTCACGGAGGGACTATTGGTTGGAAATTAGTCTTGAGATTCTATATGCTCACAAATTTATTAGGAAATACAAACTCAAACATACTCAGCAAGCAGAAGCACTTGCAAAGGCCATCCTAGGCATCTATCGATACCATGCTGTGAGAGATGCTTTCCATATTTGCCCGTCCCATTATAAGACTTTACTTGCATACAACTTAGCAGAAAAGCTTCCAGGGGGAGATACCATTCTGGAAACTTTATCAAGACACTTAGAAATACTGAATTCTGGTATGTCTCAAGATGATGCCATTGAGAGTTCATCAGTTGACATGAAACGGCAGCCTTCATTGTCCCTGGTGTCATTTATTACACTCACTAGACTTGGCTTCATGTTACCAAAACTGTTAGATGTGGAGGTAGAAGCAAAGTTCCTGGAGAGGGATATTTGGGTTGGTAAAATAAATCCTTTGGAATTGGCCGTGAAGCAATTGAAATGTAACACTGGAAGAGCTGAGGCAGCACAGGAAACCGTGAATCAAGTGAAAGTGGAGGGAATTGATACAAACATAGCTGTGATGAAGGTGTGTTGTGAATTTTGTGCTCTTTACTGGACTTTGTTTCATGTTCTTATTACTAAATTAACTTTTAAAAATAGCTATTGCAATATCTATTTTTAAAACTTATAAGGAGAACTAAGAGTTCTTAGATAAGAACAGCATTTGAATTTACAAGAAAAGAAAAATTACATGTCCTGTAATTAATAGAGAAATAATTATCAAAAAATTAGTAGAGGAGAAATGATGACATGTATCATTCAGTAAGCAGTACCCTTCTGGGCAGTTTTGATAAGAACTAAAGTTACATAGTTTTGTTAAGGTGTATAGGCAACTCTAGATGATAGTGGAGTGGCTAGTTGCACAAATTTCTATAGAAGAAATACCTTATCTAAACTAATTTCCCAGTTCTGTATATCAGCCAACATGTATATTGTGAATAAACCCTAGTTGATTCTAGGTCAAAGTAGAGAAGAAGGAAGAAGAAAGAAAAGAGAAAGAAGGAAAAGAATATTCGGCCAGACTAGAAGAGAATGTGAATCCAATCACTCTCCTAGCTGACCCACTTGGATTTTATTCATAAAACTTGGAGTTACAAGAAAGACAGTTTTGTCCCTCATATAAGATGGGACACATAACTTAAATTCAGATACAATAGACCTTTCACTTCCAAGAAGATAAACCAGAATGGCCAAAATACCCCTGACTCAAGCACTCTAACATATATAAAGTGAAAATTAGTTATTCTATCTAATAATAACAACGAATTTTATATCAAAACATGCAAAGTCATTATATTACAAATACAATAGCATTTTAAATCAATTCTTTCGTTATTTCAAATAGAACATTATTATATAAGAAGTTGATAGGTTACTGCCTATCACAGAGCTCTCTTCGAGGGAGAGCTAACCACCTCAAAATGGTGGGGGTGGGGAAATCGAGAGAAAGGGGGAAGATTGGATCTAACTTCTTTGCCTTCTCTTCCYTGGGCTAGATATTTATAATCATCTCTCTCGTCAATATATTTTGTTACATCAAATCATGCATTTTATTCCTTCTAACCATCTTAGGCATGTGGCTTCYTACTGTAGACTTAAGTGAAGAGTCTGGAAGTGGCTCAAGATGAGATACCTTCTCACATGGACCTTCCTAAAAATGTTGGCCTATCAGAATTATTTCATAGAAATTGCAAGTCAAAAAACTAGTAGCAAATAAAGCAGGCTATATTTTTATACTAATAAAAGATTTAAGAGAGAGATAAGGAGAGAGTATTGAGGAGAAAAACAAGGTACCAAGCCCATGTTATATTTAATTCATAGTTGTCAACTAGTATTGTAAATCTAGGGTTTGTATGAGAAAGGAAGAAAGAAAGAGAGAAAGGAGAAGAAGAGAGGAATGTGTCGAATGGTGTGTTCTTGTTACTGTTCATGCCCTTAAAAAGCATTTTATATTTTGAAACAAGAAATTACAAAGAGGTCCCTACTTGGGCACCCAAATACAAAAAGAGTACAAAGAGAAGAGGTAAAGACTAAAAACACCCTTGCCTAAACTTTCTCAACACTCTCCATCAAGCTGAGCATATATGTTAATCATGGCCAACTTGGCAAGGTTCTCAGCAAACTTTGGGTGGTGAACACCTTTAGTGAGGCAATCGGCTAGTTGGTCTTCCGATCTTACAAAAGGAAGGCAAATTTCTCCACTAGCAATTTTTTCTCTAATAAAGTGTCTGTCCACCTCAATATGCTTTGTACGATCATGTTGAACAGGATTGTGGGCAATGTTTATGGCTGCTTGATTGTCACAATACAGTCTCATTGGGATATCCGCTTGGATGCCCATCTCAGCCAATAAGGTCTTCAACTAGAGTAGTTCAGACACTCCATGAGCCATTGCCCTGTATTTTGCCTCAGCACTAGAACGAGTAACCACAGATTGTTTCTTACTTCTCCATTTAACCACATTGCCTCCGATTAATGTACAATAACCAGATGTTGATCTTCTATCTGAAGGGATGAGAGATCCATCGTATGGACGCCTGAATCTTGCGGAATAGAATGGGCGAATTTCAAAAATTTCTCTCCATCTTACTGGGAATCGTATTCCCTAATTTAGAAAAATCATATTTTTCAAGG